TAGTCAAGCATATTAAATCCAATGAGAAAAGCTATGTGAAGCAAAAATTATTATACCATTCACTCACCCGTTTTGGGAACCAATCAGGAAACTCTCTATTAACCCTCCTCTCCAAATCTAATGCTGAAGGTCTCCGTCCTCTTGTGCTCTTTCTTATGTAATCCCTAAACTCACTTCAAATAAGCTAACTATATCAATTTTAATTATTCTAATTCTAAACTTTTGCCAATATTCATATCAATTTTATTTACTTACTCAATAAATGGCTTCACTGCCGCACAATTAAATAACACATATCGATGAGCTTGCGTCTTCACCAATGGAGTCAAGGGGAACGTTGAGGAGCCTCCAACTGGTTTACCTTGCGTAGGGAAGATAGAGGACATTTCAGAAGCCTCATTAAGATTTGGTTCATCATTCACACGTCTAGGCCTATTAAGCCTTGACTCAATCCCTTCAAAGTAACGAGAACAAAAAGTTAGAGCTTCTTCAACAATGTAACCTTCAGCTATGGAACCTTCTGGTTGAGCCTTATTCCCTACGAGGGACTTAAAATGACCTAACAATCTATAACATAAAATGTAACAGGTTTAGAATAAGCACTTAACTTGAATTAATATTACAAATATAAAAATTCCGGTTAAGAAATATTTTACCTTTCAACAAAATACATCCACCTGTAATGTACAGGACCACCTTGTATAGCTTCATCTACCAGATGGACAGTTAAATGGACCATTACAGTAAAGAACGTTGGCGGGAATAATATCTCCAAGTGGCAAAGTGTGAGAACAATGCGATTTTGTAACTTTTCTAGATCCGCCAAACTCAAACTTTTAAGACAAAGTTCTCTGAAAAAAGAAGAAAGCTCTACTAAGATTGCAACAACCTCCTTTGGCAGCACATTGCGAATTGCTATTGGTAGCAATTGCTCCATAATAATGTGACAATCATGACTCTTTAATCCAAAGATTCTCCTTTGGTCCGGATCAATGCAGCCAGAGATATTACTCGAGTAACCATCCGGCACTGAAATATTCTTTAAAGTTGTGAGGAAAGCCACTTTCTTTTCCTTTGGAATGGTAAACACAGCAAGCCGACACTCATCATTCTCATCAGGCCAAAGATCACGCCTTATACCCATATCTTGCAAATCTTTCCGTGCCTTAATATTATCTTTTGACTTGTCTTTATCATTAAGCAAAGAATATATAATATTGTCAAACACATTCTTTTCGATGTGCATGACGTCTAAATTGTGGCGCAACGAGTTGAACTCCCAATATGGAAGATTAAAGAATATGCTTTTTTTCCTCCATTGTTGCGCTGCACCTTGCCCAATATTTCTTTGTCTAGATCTTTTTCTTCTCTCGTTCAACTCAGCCGGTTTTCCAAATGTAACATCAATATCTTTCACTTGTTGGAAAATATTAGATCCGGATAACTTTCTTGGTGGGTTTCTTTCCTCCACATTTCCATCAAAACGATGCCTCATCAGTCTAAATTTATGATTTCTTGCTAAAAATCTACGATGACCAATAAAGCACCACTTTCTACTATGGCGAAGCCGGCAAGGTTCTGCATCAAAATTACAAGTTGGACATGCTAAACCAGTATGTGAGTTCCAACCAGACAAGATATCGAGTCCAGGAAAGTCACTAATTGTCCACATAAGAGCAGCTCGCAATCTAAACATCTCTTTGTTTGATGAATCAAAAGTTTCGACACCTTCACTCCACAACTCATTCAACTCCTTAATAAGGGGTTGTAGGTAAACATCTATGTTATTTCCCGCAGTACGAGGACCGGGAATGATCATTGAAAGAATAAAATTGGGTTGTTTCATGCACAACCAAGGAGGAAGGTTATATGGAACTAAAATGACTGGCCAAATGCTATAATTAGTACTCATCGTGCCAAAAGGATTGAAGCCATCACTAGCTAGGCCTAGCCGAACATTCCGAGGATCAAAAGCAAATTCAGGAAAAGTTGTATCAAACCTCTTCCATGCCTCACCATCTCTAGGATGCCTCATGATTCCATCTTTGTTACTATCCTCAGCATGCCATCTCATATATTTTGCTATTTTAGAGCACATGAACAATCTCTGCAACCTTGGTTTTAATGGAAAGTAACGCAAAATCTTTGCAGGCTTCTTGGTTTTCTTCTTGGTTTTCTTTTTACCTGTAGCAGACACAAGATCTTCATTTCTGTTCTTGTTAGGCTTCCACCTAGAAGTGTGACAATACTTACATGTTTCCTCATTAGCATCATTCCCCCAAAACAACATACAATCATTTGGACAAGCACCTATCTTGATATAATCAAGACAAAGCTTACTGATGGTTTTCTTAGCCTCATAAAAAGAATTAGGGATTCGTGCAAATGTAAATGCATCCCTCAACAAATCTAGTATCATGGACATTCCCTTGTCACTTAGCCCAGACAAACACTTTATGTGATACAATTTTAATAAAAATTCTAGTTTTGAGTACTTGGACCCTTCATACAATTCTTGACTTCCATCTCTAAGCAACTCGAAAAAGTCTTTGTCATTTGAAGCAGGCTCATCATTTAACCTTTCTTCACCACCTGCTACTTGTGACGGACCTACATCAACCCCATCGTGCCTTAGGCCCCCAAATGCTTCATTGATCAATAATTCTACAGGATTTTCAGGAGGTAATGTATCTTGTATAACCTCAATATTTATAGAATTAGGCAGTACATTTCTTTCACCATGAATACTCCAAGTGACATAATTTTGAGGGAATGGTTTGCATACCAAATGATCAAACGCTACATCTCTAGTCTGCCACTTTGCGAATCCACATTTAGGACAAGGACATTTTATTCTATCTCCCACAACAGCATTAGCAAATGCAAAATCTAAAAACTGATTTAACCCAAACAAATACTCAGTGGTGTTCCTTGGCTTTGTAATCCAAGATTTATCCATAGGAAAGTATTATCTTTGAAGTGTGAACCTTTCAGAATATAAAGAGAAAATATCAGTTCTCTATTATTAGCATACATAATAATAATTATGAAGCAATAATACATACAACAAAAGCCATATATAATCATAAACACTACCAAACATGAAAATTCCAAAACAAAGAATGCATTTGCATAGTCATAGTCATATCTCCCAACAATAATAAGTAGATTCAAAGACAAGTGAGTCTACAAACTATAAGTAAGAATGCAATGTGCAACATCCTTCTTGTTCACTTCTTGATCATATTATAGGAAATTACATTCACGGAAATCTTAACACTATAATCTCTTCTGAAGCTTCAGCTATATTTGCTGCTGCTGCTGCTAATAGTGATTTGTTCTATGGATCCCAATGCCAAATCAAGAATTGGAATTTCAAGAAGGGAATAGTAGAATTTTCTACCCTGATGCTTTGCCAAGAATATATAACTCTTCTATTGAGCTTCAGGTATTGATTTTAGTTTTTAGTGAAACTTAGTTACACTTATTTACTGTAGCTTTTATTTAGTGATTTTTGTTAAAAACAATTTTTTTCCAATGAAGGCAATCAACAATGAGAGTGAGCATTTGGTTAGTGGTGTTGGTTGTTCTAACCCTTTGGCTGCAGAAGTTACAACCTTTGAAGATACTTCCTATAAAGTCATCTCAAACCACATCATGCCATAGAGAAAAAAATTAACGGAACCACTGATTCTGAAGAACCACTTGGGTTAAGTCTGTACTATTGACTGGGAACTGTCTGGAACATATAGGGGTAAGAAAAGCATTATGTTCTACTTCAATAAATAAGGAA